GACCTCATCCCAGGTTGATTCACATATCTTTAAGTAAAGAACAAAATGAAGACAGAAAGAAGTTTAACCTAAGGGCTTGTTTTCATTCGCCATAATAATAATGTGGACTAATAAAAATGGAGAGGAAAAGATCAACAAGAGAAGAGGTAGGAAGAAGACACATGCCCGGTTTGCTACGCTACGCTGGGTGAATAGGAAAGGAAAGTACAAAAATGAGAGAAAGGAAAGAGAAGAGAAAGAGGAAAAAAAAAAGGATTTTCAGTCAATGCGCTGACGCGTATGCAGTGGTGGCACTACACAAAAGTTGAAAGTACTCACATAGGCCTGTAGTCGTCAAAAAGCACAAGACGACTTTGACTGCATTTTGAGCTGACGAAAGACGAGGACGGTGTTCTAGTAGCATCTGCATACAGAGTGGCCGACCGCCCAGTTGTCGCAATGCGCCAGAAAGCTTCTGTCTTTCAGAGGCGAATCGAGGGCAACGACATAGCAGATAGCAATGTCTTCTTCAGTGCCGCAGACGTCGCATTCCGCGTTGTCGGTCAATGCAATGAAGGTTTTATGTGTTTTTGTGAAGGCAACCCGCAACCAAAGAACACAAAGAAGCAAAGCTTGACGTCGACGAAGTTCGGATAGAGGTCGAAGTTCGGATAAAGGTCCAGTCGAGAATTTATTTGGTAGAGTCTCTGTCTTATGCTTGGGGTGTTCCACTCCAGCAGACACAGAATACGTGCCAGGTGGCGAAGTTGCGTTGCAGCGCCTGTCCTTGACAAAGGATCCGGAAGGGTGTGCTCTTCTTCGCGGGATGTGCGAGCCGCGTTGTCTGCGCAATCATTGCCGCTGATCCCACAATGACCAGGTAGCCACTGATAATTGACCTCGTGGACTGTTTCAGTGACGTGGTGAACAAGCTTGACAACCTCATATGTTAACTGTTTGTGGCAACCTCGTTGAATGACAGACTGTAGGGCTGATTTGATGTCAGAAAACACAGACCAATTACTCGGTCTCTCGGATTTGATGTACTCTAGGGCGACACGTAAAGCCGCAAGTTATGTGTGCACGTGTTGATTGTATATTTTGTGCAAGAGGTGCAAGCTTAATTCTTTTAGGGCTGATCAAAGCAAATTTGATTGTTTTTTGTATTTCTGGCATCTGAAGACGTACTTGTGAAAGTGTCGGGCACCACGAAGGATACACCAATTTTTCCGCAGGCGTAAAACCTGATGTAAACGAATCACAATGCGCATAGACAATTGCACTGAATTTCATGCGGGGCCTCTAAGTAGCGAAGGTTGCCAAGTTGTGGGAAGGATTCCGATCGTGTTGCCTGAGGTACGTACGCATCGTTTCAATGGTGATGTGCGTCACGATGGAGTAGTCCTGTGCAATGGCAAGGGTTTCAGCCGTCGAAGCACAGCGTGGTAAACCAAGGCATATTCTAAGAACGTGGGCTTGAATATTTTGGAGTGTGCGTAGGTTAGTTTTGAAAGTGTTAGATATAAGAGGTAGGCTGTATCGCAGGAGTCCAATAAATAATATCTTGTACAGCTGTAACATAGACTCGCTAGACACTCCGAGACTTCTTCTGGCAAGGAACCTGAACAAGTGACAGATGGTGGTCAGCCGCTTTTCACGTAGTGTACGTGTGGGGTTTTAGGCAGGTTTCACTCGATTATGACTCTCAAAAACCTGTGACTCCGGCTGCGTGACACCAATTGCCCGTTAATTGATATGCTGTAGGCGGACATTGGCCTTCTGGCGAAAGCCACGACTGTTCGCTTTCCACTTGCAATTACGAGCCCTTGTTTACGTAGGTGGTGCGATGTCACTGATGCTGCCTTCTGAAGTCGAGCGCGAAGTTGAAGTCAAGTCACACCTGGTGTCTGCGCACAGATGTCATCTGCATAAATGGAAAGTCGTACGCTGCTTGGCTGCTTGCCAACTAGTCCAAATATTGTTAGGTTGAACAACGTCCCGTTTAGCTTTCCGCCTTACGGGACTCCTCAGCTACAGTGATACTCGTGTGACGGGCCATTCTCTGTCTGCACGTGAAAATACATATTTTGTAGGTAGCTCTGAACAAACGTATATATCTTACCACCGAGTCCTACTTCTTTTTTCGCTGAGAATGGCTTCGTGGATGACATTGTGGTAAGCCATTTAACGTCAAGGAACAGAGCAGCACATATCCGTTTGCAGGCCTTCTGGTGCTCTACATATGTCACCAAGTCAACTATATTGTCAACTGATGAACGGCCTCGTCTGAACCCGCACATGTCATCTGTATATATTCTGTAGAACTTTTAAGTAATATTCCAGACGGGGTAAAATCATTATTTCCATAATTTTCCCACAGAGCTTCCGAGGGCGATCAGGCGGTAAGAGGAAATGTCCGAAGGTGACTTGCAGGCTTCGAAGTGGAATCGGGTGACTTGACTTCCATTTCTTTGGAACCATGCCAGTTTTCCAGGAGTCGCTGTATAACAGCAAGGGTACCTTCCGAGCTTGATCTCCTAGGTGACACCGAGCGCGGTAGGGGATGCCATCAGTTCCTGGCGCTGAAGAACGTCTACATAAAGCAAGCGAAGCCTTCAGTTCTTTTATTTAAAACGAACACTCCAATTGGGGATCACGTGAGGATACAGAACAGTTGGGTGTCTTTGTCCCATTTGAGTTGTCCCCGCAGACAATTCATCGACAGAAAGATTGTGCGCCGTCAATCTCTTCACAGCGTAAGTGAAGTGCCAAAGATTTAAATGGGTGTGCGTCTGGCCACTCTCAGACCATCGAATGACTTCGTGCGTCTATAACGTCGTTCTCCACGACGACGAATCGCTCGCAGTTTCTCGAGTTCAATGTGCATATCTCTGCGAGATGAGCTACCCAGTAGCGAACGCGTGGGACAGTAGGAAACTCTTCATTGCGTCCTCTAGGTTGAAGGGTGAGCCGCCAACATAGTCTTCTAAGAATAAAATGTATTTTTACCAATCGGTGCACTCGACGGCTCTGGAAGACTTGAGACTTGGAAAGCCGTCTACCTTCAGGCATGTTGGGATGTAGTCCCTTGTTTAAAAATCCGAAAACCAGTGAACTCTTCTGGCGATTTGCGAACGAGCGTGAGACGATACACATATAAATGTAGGGGATACTTGTAGAAGAAATTATTATAAACTTGAAAAAAAGAAAAGAGGGCGTTGAGCTAACTCGAGACAACAAGGCTCCAATCCCGCGACCTTCGAATAACATGTTCAATGCACTGGCACATATCTACTGTGGCGGTCATTCCACCGTCAACATTATGGGCTACATATATGCATTAAACGTGGAAGCAGCAGCCGGCGCAGCATGGTGCCATTGCGGAAAGTTGACTGGTAGCACGTTCTTAAAAAAAAGGAGATGGTTTTCTCATTCAATAGTTTAGTATTAAGAAACATTCCAGCAAATGTTATACAAGCTATGAGTGAGCGTTTGATCATAAACGCATGTTGTCCATTTCCAGTTCCGACGTGGCTTGGAATGGCATCTTGAATGACTGGTACGAGAAAGCCATGGGCAACCCTCCAAATCTGCAGTATGTATAAGATGTCCTTCGGACAGCATCACCACGTCTAAATTTTGTTAAGCAAGTACTAACGCTTCTAAAGTCTAATGCCATGCTTTCATAGGTCACAAAACTCACTAATTAGTCGACTCGCACTATCTCAGATAAGGTTGTGAATTCGAATCTGAGTGATATTGGGTGAGTAAAACATTGATGAGCTTGAGGCAGAGTGAGCCAAATAAAACAATTTTAGCTAGTCTTGAGTCAAAGTCACTTTCGTTGAGCTAAGTACTGAAATGTCGGCGTCCGTGTGTGCTTAAGCGTACACAAAGACTCCAGGATCAATCCTGTGTGAGGCGTGATCGCCCTTATGGCACATGCGCGGCTTTCTCCCTCTCTCCTCCCCTTCGGTCCACCCTCTCAGCGCCGATGCATGCAGTGACTGCTAGTCTACGCTCAATTCCTCCTTTTTTTCCACTCTAGGCATCCTTCTCAATGGCATTTACGCATTACGCATCCACTTCCCCTCTGTTATCTTCAGCGCTAACCCTTTCTCGCCTCGCAACTGCGGCACAGGCAGCGACTGCTAGCGAGTTAATTGATTAAAAAAAACAACTACAAAACCCAGAGCTCACGCGGCACAATCATTCACGCTATTTCTTATATATAGGCACTCGATCTTTACGTCAGCCTGCGGGTGTGACCGTTTCATGAACAGGATAGAGGCTCCAGGAGGCAGGGTACTCGTTTTCTGTGAGGTTGACTGTAGGTCACAAGGCTATTAAAGAAGCTGCAACCTGAAATGGGACCATTTTCGGAAACGGGTTGCCTGACTGTTCTAGATCTAAGGGGGTAACAATCTCTTTGCACACAGGCTATAGCAAAGAATAACAACTGGTGGCGCGAAAGTCGGAAGAGTGTGCGCGTTGGTCAACCAGAAATGTGAGAAAGTTAACAGTGTTCATAGAAGAAACGCAGCATAAAACACAAGCTCAAGTTTATTGAACGTGCACACAGTCTGGTGTACTGTATACCTCTGACGTGTGGTTGTGCATATATAGGGCAGACTTTCACGTGCATTAATACGAGGCTAAGGGAGCTTATATCAAGTCTGGAAGGTGACCCTATCACACATTTAGCAATGCATTACAATGAGTGCGCATGCACTTGTAGCAGGCGATGACGCCGGTGATCGCGATAATTTTGTGTGCGCATACCAATTCGTATGCCGAGGCGCACGGCGCAGACGCGAACAACATGCCTCACGTTATCTCCGGAGGGCCGCGGAAGATACGCAGCCACGCCCCTTTTGCTTGTCGCTTTCGAAGCCAGTTTTTCTTGGAAAATAAACTACTTTTGTCCCAGACTTCAAGAAGTTTAGGTGCCATCTTTTCGCGCCTCCGTGGGGCGAGTACGCTACAAAGTGGTGACTCGGACGTTTGGAAAAACAGCAGCCATGTCAGACAAAGAAGGTACATTAAGCTCACCTACAACGAACGCTTCAGAGTCAAATCTTCCTCATTTCTGGCCCAAAAACCCCAGGGTGTGGTTCAGCCAAATCGAGGCCCGCTTCGAGCTTCGACGCATCACATCGCAGCAGTCGAAATACCTGAACGTCGTTTCAGCACTGCCGCCTGACATCGCTGACGTCGTGGACGATGTGCTCGCCTCCACTCTATCGGAGAAGCCCTACGACGAACTAAAAAGCACCGTCCTGAAATGTCTTGAGGTGTCCGAACAGAGCAGGCTGCAACAACTCCTGTCTCATGAAGAGCTCGGTGACCAGCATTCCTCACAACTACTCCACCGAATGGGTCAGCTGCTGGGCCAACAAGCATCAGAGGAGCGTCAAAATCCATTGCTTCGCGAGTTGTTTTTGCAGACACTGCCACAGTCAACACGGATGATACTCGCTGGCTCAGATGACGTGACTCTCGAACGTCTGGCTCAACTCGCCAACCACATCACCGACTGCACTGAGTCACCAAAAATGTCTATTGCTGCAACGTGAAGGCCCGAACATGCAGACCAGTTAGGTCGCTTAGAGGACAGAGTTGACCGACTGGCTGCAGCAGTTGAAAACCTCGCCCTGCCCAACAAACACCGGCCAGCACGACATCGTTCGCCGTCCCATGCTCGAAGCCCGCAGCACCGCGCACACTCAAGCGAGGCAGAGTAGAACATCTGCTGGTACCACCGTCGTTTTAGAGAGCAAGCCACTCGCTGCACCCATCCATGCTCGTGGACGGGAAACTCACCGGCCAGTCGCTAACCGCGGAAAGCGACACGGGCCATCGTTCAAGCCGCCTCTTCTTCGTTGTCGACCGCATCACAGGCACACGCCTCCTTGTCGACACCGGAGCGGAGCTATCTATCCTACCCGCATCAGATCAACGTCGCTGGGGCGGCAAGTCCATTTCGAGCCTAATCGCAGTCAATAATACTGCTATTGCAGCATATGGAGTCCAGTCAATGACGATAGACATCAGATTCAGGCGTATATCGATGGCTCATTGATATGGCCGACGTCAGAATTGCCATCCTGGGAGGGGACTTTCTGAGCCACTTCAATCTTGACGTCAGCGTTCGCGATCGTCGTCTCAAGGATAACGTCACTTCTCTCGCTGTTCTGGGACTGAAGTCTGGCCTGTCCTCATGCGGCATTTGCACTTTCAACCCAGAGTCAAACTTTCAAAATATTCTGGCTGAATTCCCTGAAATCACCAAACCTCGGAACACCGAACTGCCAATCAAACCCAAGGCGACGCATCACGTTGTCAACACCGGACCTCTCTATATCTATATTTCTCTATCTCTCCGTCTCTTTATATCTTTATCTCTCTTTATATATCTGCCTCTATCTATCTATCTATCTATCTATCTATCTATCTATCTATCTATCTATCTATCTATCTATCTATCTATCTATCTATCTATCTATCTATCTATCTATCTATCTATCTATCTATCTATCTATCTATCTATCTATCTATCTATCTATCTATCTATCTATCTATCTATCTATCTATCTATCTATCTATCTATCTATCTATTTATCTATCTATCTATTTATCTATCTATCTATTTATCTATCTATCTATTTATCTATCTATCTATTTATCTATCTATCTATTTATCTATCTATCTATCTATCTATTTATCTATCTATCTATTTATCTATCTATCTATCTATTTATCTATCTATTTATCTATCTATCTATCTATTTATCTATCTATCTATCTATTTATCTATGTATCTATCTATCTATTTATCTATCTATCTATTTATCTATTTATCTATCTATCTATCTATTTATCTATCTATCTATTTATCTATCTATCTATTTATCTATCTATCTATCTATCTATCTATTTATCTATCCATCTATTTATTTATCTATTTATTTATCTATCTATCTATTTATCTATCTATCTATTTATTTATCTATCTATTTATCTATCTATTTATTTATCTATCTATTTATCTATCTATTTATCTATCTATTTATCTATCTATTTATCTATCTATTTATCTATCTATTTATCTATCTATTTATCTATCTATTTATCTATCTATTAATCTATCTATTAATCTATCTATCTATTTATCTATCTATTTATCTATCTATCTATTTATCTATCTATTTATCTATCTATTAATCTATCTATCTATTAATCTATCTATATGTCTGTCTGTCTGTCTGTCTGTCTTAAACATAATAATCACGACATCCGTGCCATGTAACAACATGGCTACATGCCACACTGATGATGCGCTTGCAGCCATTTCGCTAGTTTCGCATAAGCCAGATTTCGTATTACGTGACGCCAACGGATGACGAAGGTATGTGACTGGTGCAAACAAGATAATCATGAGATGCGTGTCATGTGAGAACATGACTGCATGCCACAGTCAAGGTGCCAATACGTGATGTGACGCAGTGCGCGTGCTCACCGGCGTTCACTTCGTCTTGTCACGCCGGCGTTGCCACGCCAGGCACCAGTCCTTTCATATACTCACAGGCGCGCACCGCACTCCGTGGCTTGACGCATGCGCGTTTCAGCACGTCCGGCATCCCTTCGTCTCTTGGACGAAGGGATGCCGGACGCAAACACCGGCGACGTGACGTCGGTGTTTGCGTGACGTAACACCGGCGACGACGTGTTACGACGATCGTAACACCAAGGGATCCTTTCGTCCAGGGACGGTGGGATCCCTTGGTGTTACGACGTGACGTCAATGAATGACGAAAGTACACGACTGGTGCAAGCATGATGATCCGGACGCGCGTTCGTGTAAGAAGATGACAACATACCACGCGTGTTCGCGGTCATTTCGCTAGCTCCACATATACTAAATTTGGTGTCACGTGACGTGGATCGATGACGAACGTAAACGACACATTTAAACATGATAATGATGACACGGAAGTCGTGTAGGGCATTATTTACGTCCACCTTGTAACGTTGTACTAACTTTAAAGTGACATATCAACCTTTCTTATTCGTGCTTCACATATCATCGATTCACGCTGTACGTTGGATCTGCCAATTTTTTAGCTAACACACGCCGATATATGCCCTTGCATTGCCACATCAAGGTAACTTCATTACAGAAGTGTCCATAGGTTAATAGGCGAGGGGTCATTGTTCATGCCAACTAATTAGTACTCACTAATTAATTCGTTTATTTACCAAGTCAAGTACGCATCACAGCAATGTACACGGAGGCATGAACGAATCACAGATGAGAACGTACACGCAAACACGCACATATCGCACATAATATCAAGATTTAGCTGGTATCTATGCGCTGCAGCAGCCGCTTGAATGCTATTTCCTTAGAACAGCAAACTGTCTACTTGTTAGCACCCACACAATTTAGAAAAATAATGAACGTCTTTTACACATCCCCGTCTGCCCTTTTATTTGCATATATGGGTGTCGCCACTTAGCACGGAGTTTTTATATCATATCAAACGACCAAAATAGAATTTTGACTAAACTTTTGTAAAGAGTGCCATGGTTACTGCAAAATATGTAGTGGTGTCTACGAGAGATCTGGCAACAAATAAAGTGTCACGGAGTCGTGACGTGGCCGAAGACAGGAGACTTCGTGTTGGGATTTAACTGTTTATTTAGGCGAACCTGTGCCCGGTAAACAGAAAGTCCAATTACAGCAGCAGTCTCGCACAGATAGCAGTCTCAGACTGATAGTGGCGAACGGAGCGTCGGCCTTCGATCAACAACTGACAAGCGGCGAAGCGCGTCGGCATTTATACTCCCGCCGTCGAATGTTCTAGCGCTACCGCTGGCGGGGGCGTACGTTCCAGAACAATTTGTACCATTCGCACTGTGGGCGTGATCTTATCGAAATGATCTACTACAGTCCGGAACCCTCTCGAAAACTGCAGGCGCGGTTTGCGCTGGGAATCGTCTGGTGTTTTGGGACGATAAAAAAAACTTAGGAAATGAAACGTGGCATTGCCCCCCTCTGAAAAAGGCATCGTTTCGATGCTTTAACTAAAGATGAAGGTACAATAATAATGCAAGAAAGTACAATGAATAAATTACGATACAACAATAATACAAAAAAACATTGTTAACGCACATGAAACAGCTTGAGGCGCGCGACATGGACGACTTCAAGTCGCGATAGGCGTCGTTGAGAGTTCGTGATGCCGTCGGGGACAGCCTCGTAATCAAGTGGGCCGAGACGTCGAACCACCCTGTACGGTCCGAAGTACCGTCGCAGAAGCTTTTCACTTAGTCCACGTCGGCGTATCGGCGTCCACACCGAAACACGTTCACCGGGCTGGTATTCCACGAAGCGTCGTCGAAGGTTGTAACGGTGGCTGTCGGTCGTCTGTTGATTCTTGATACGGAGACGCGCAAGTTGTCGGGCTTCTTCGGCGCGTTGAAGGTACTCGCTCACATCGAGGTTTTCTTCTTCGGTGACGTTGGGTAACATGGCATCGAGCATCGTTGCCGGGCTCCTTCCGTAGACCAATTTGTATGGAGATACCTGCGTCGTCTCCTGCACCGCCGTGTTGTATGCGAAGGTCACATACGGAAGAATGGCGTCCCACGTCTTGTGTTCGACATCGACGTACATTGACAGCATGTCGGCGATCGTCTTGTTAAGCCGCTCGGTGAGGCCGATGGTCTGTGGGTGGTACGCTGTCGTCCGGCGGTGGTTTGTTTGGCTGTATGCCAAGATCGCTTGAGTTAAGTCGGCAGTGAATGCCGTTCCTCTGTCGGTGATAAGGACCTCCGGGGCGCCGTGACGTAGGACGATATTTTCGACGAAGAACTTAGCTACCTCGGATGCACTGCCTTTTGGCAGGGCTTTTGTCTCGGCGTAGCGGGTGAGGTAGTCGGTAGCTACCACGATCCACTTGTTTCCGAAAGCCGACGTCGGGAACGGCCCCAATAGGTCCATACCAATCTGCTGGAAAGGTCGGCAAGGTGGATCAATTGGCTGCAGAAGTCCCGCTGGCCTTGTCGGCGGTGTCTTGCGTCGCTGACAGTCCCGGAATGTCCGCACATAACGAGTGACGTCGGTGGTAAGACGCGGCCAGTAGTACCTTTCTTGTATCCTCGCGAGTGTGCGAGAAACACCGAGGTGCCCTGCCATCGGATCGTCGTGCAGGGCCTGCAGGAGTTCTGGTCGCAGAGCTGAAGGCATCGCAAGGAGGTACTTAGCCCGAAGCGGTGAAAAGTTTTTCTTTTGTAGAAGACCGTTTCGTAGAAAAAACGACGCAAGCGCGCGCTTGAATACCTTCGGGACCTCGGCGGTCCTGCCTTCGAGGTATTCTATTAGGGCGTTAAGTTCCGGGTCGGCCCGCTGTCGTTCAGCGAAGTCGTCGGTAGTTATCGTTCCCAAAAAGCAGTCGTCATCCGGGTCGTCGGGTAGCGGTTGGTCGACAGGCGCACGAGAGAGACAGTCGGCGTCGGAGTGTTTTTTGCCGGACTTGTAAATGAGAGTAATGTCATATTCTTGAAATCTCA